GGTTCAGGGTATCTCCCAGTCGAGCAGTCTCGACTAGAGTCTTCTTACTTGTTTTTGTTTTTGCATTAATGATCCTATAAGGTCTCAGCTTGGAACAAATTGAAGAGCCGAAGGTCACAATAATTGCTGTATGATCAGAGCTCAGATCGAAATTCTACCCTATTTTAAAATTGCTCTGCGGTAGTCCACAGTGTACAATAAAATCCAGTAAATCTGGGATTTTATTCAGATCACTTGGCCTGTTTCCAGTAGATAATGTTCAATTGTTATTTTTCATTCATTTACATAGCTTGGCATCTTTTGCGTTTAATTGATTCCCACCATGGGTGTTTAGCATTATAGTTGTCACCAGCAATAAAATGTCTACCCTTGAAATAGATTGTTATTTTAGAAACCGAAAACTTTTCCCAAAATTTTATTATCGGTTATGCACTTTATCCTACATCTTTAAGGCTAGAGTCTCCAAATTTTAAATAAATATTAAAATGAATTTTATACAATTTCGATTTTGTTAAAACTTACCCTTCAACCCCATATCGACCCGCTAACCCTCACCTTTGTTCAAGGCGTATTTCAAATACTAGAGACATGTTCTTTGGCAAATGCATGCATATCTGTTTAATGAAGCGAAATGATTGTGCTTTCGTTTATTTTCGTAACCCGAACCCAAAAGTTGGGAGCCGAGCGAATACGAAGTTGTGCTTAAGCTCGGAAAAAATCGTAGAAAAATCTTTACACTACAGTCTATGTGTTCTATGGTTAGTGCTTATACCCAGAGGGAAATAAGTAAACTTTAATTGTTGAGGTGGGGTCGCCGTTAAGTACAAAGTTCGGCTTGTAAGTTCCTCGTTTTTATTTTATTTATTGTATAAATTTTATAATTTAGTATATGTCAGGAGTGGCTAGTGATAAGTGAAGGGGGCGAGAGACGAAGTACCGTTACCATTATAAGGCTAAGGCACGCAAAGCATGTCAAACCCGCCAGCATGGCTTACACTTTCACATGCTGGTATTATTTTTTGGTGTATTATCTTTAGTCTTCTTATAAAAAATGTTCTTTTTGAGCAGTGGAGTTAAAATAACTTACATTGCTTCCTCTAGACTTACGATTCGGCATAACGATAATGATAATTGATGCATCAGCAATCTCCCTAACAATTTTGGGTATCTCTAAATTTGATTTAAAAATTTGTCGAAGAATGGTGGGGAATTTCTTGTATTTATTTATCTGATTATAAACAGTCTGACGAGAAAGATTGTATTAGGTACTGATTTTCCACAGAAATGCAAATGAAAAGGAAAGATTTTCTTTTATGTCAGCATGAATTATAGAACTACAATAACCACGCCAGATTTATAAATTAGCTAATAAGAATAACGTTTTGAAAATCATAAGTGGTTATGGTCCTAAGCTTCGAGAATAAACTTAAAACCGTAATGTATTCGAGCTCTTCAAAACAGAATACAAAAAAAAGAAGTGCTTTCTTCTATATATTTGTTATAATATTATATTTATACTGCTTAAAATGTAAAATAAATCATTTTTCTTTTATTAAAGGATGATGTATTCAAATATTGAGCTTAGACCAAATGGTGAAAGATCCCCAAGTAGAATATCAATATACAACTATCCAGAGCATTTGAATCCATTTAATGAAGAAGATAATCACAAGCGTTTGCGTTTTTGGAACTTTTCAAAATCTAATGAAAATTCAAAACGCAGAAGTTTTTCCTTTGGGAATTTACGGGATGTATGGTAAGTAACCCTTGTAATTTTGAATGATAGTTAGTTAGGGTAGACTGTTCGCTTTACCGAATAATACCATTATAATATAATTTGACTGCGGGTATTTGTAAAAGCAAAAATCTCTAGAATTTTAAAAGCTCTTAGTAAAAACTACGTAAGGAAGGAACGAAGGATGATGATCAGATGGAGATTGCAGACCTAAAGATGCACGATATTTAATAAATAAAATATCTCTAGTCGGGACGTTCGACTACGAGATCACTTAAGCTTTTCGAGGAACTGATATTTCAATTGATAGTTAAGATCAACACATTTTTAACATATATTTTCAATCAGTCATTTTTTTTTAGGACTTTTCGTTCATTTAACTTAAAAAAAAAATCATCCACTTTGGGTATACAAAAAACTTCAGAAAGTCCCCCCGTTCTGCGCAGAAATTTAGAGTTAACAACATCATATCTGCATTCAGGAGGAAACAATGATAACAAAACATTATCTGTAATGAGATCTTTGCAGAATGTCAGCGACCCTACCGATGTAAGTAGCTATTTATATTTATTTTACTCTTTATAAAAAGATATTCTTAATCCTTATAAGAAACAAGTAACAAAACTCTAATCGAAATGGAAACGAAACGAAACGAAACACACACACACACACAAACGCTTGCGAAGCAATGCTTTACGGCCGTCCCGCAAGCATCGCGCACTATCCTAGCC